AACGGATGCGTCTGGTTCAATCAGGAACGCTGTAGCACATCTGGAAGTGCCACAAACAGATATGACTTTATACCTCAGCTGCTGACAACGTAATAAACTGTTGCCGCCGCGTTAAACGGATGCATCTGGTTCAATCAGGAATGCTATAGCACATCTGGAAGCGCCTCCTCTTTGAGCTAAAGGTCGAGCGCGGTTCCGACCCAAGATATCAAAATTAACGCGTATCAACGGCTACCCGAAGTGAGGATCGGCTATTCAAGCTGGCATGTTGATTTAAGAACGCTTTCACATGCCACTCACCGGACCCACACCATCCCACAAGTCAGCACACACCAAGTTTAAATGCACCAACTACGCTTCTTGGTCGTATTCCCACTTCAACATATAGCGCAAATTCAAGGCACAACCCAAGGGTCAAGCTCCTAACATCAAACTCTGCACAGGTTTGAATCACTACCATGCTGCACTATCGACACAAACAGTCTCAACGTCAACACTTCGATCGCAATTGGTATCGGATAACTCAGTATCAAGCTCGTATTAACGGCTACGGCAATAGTACTGTCTATATCAAATCACTCGACAGGTGCTCCCAATGCCCAACGTTGATCTTAACCCTTGTGTCTACCTTAGTAAGGTTTATCAGAGAACATGCGAAGCCGCTGCTTTGAAATACTACTACCAATCACGGAGAGGTGATGATCCAAAAAGCGACATTGATTCTGGCCTTTAGGCCCAAGCTCAGCACCGAAGATGTATCAGAAATACACAGTATCGAGTTTCAGTTATCCAGCAGATAAACGTGCGAATATCCATATATACGTAATCTATAAATTGATGTCTCCATATCCAAAAGGAAAATTTGAATATAAAATAACCCAGTGGGATTAGTGTAGTGCTTCTTTTTTTAATCAAAGGCTCTATTACCTTAGAGAAAGACTGATTTACAGAGTGCTTACAGCTTAGTGTGGGGGGTTCTAGACGTAACAAATTTCCCCTTGATTTCCAATAGCTATTGCACCGTATGTGATTGCGGTATAGTCATTACAGGAGATTTTTCAAAACAAAATTAACAGCGGCTTAATTACAGCAACATTAGGAGTTGGGCTTAAGTACATAGTTGGCTTCTTGCTTTTGATTTTGTACTCCGGCTTATGGTTTTCTTCCTCTTCACTTTAGCAATTTTCGCTTTCAACACAGCATGCAAATTGCAGCTGTCTTTTGCCGGATCACATTACTGTCGGCAGGCAATATCTACGACACAATTTTTTAAAGCTCACCCTGTCGTGCGTGTGAATATAGAAAATATCTGGGCCAAATTTTACGTTATCGCTGTAACAGTGGTATTAGCGATATCGATCGCTGTTCATCACGGGCTGAAGTCTTTTCGGAATCGATTTTGCTAGAAGTGAGACAAACATAATTTACAATCCGTCACTGTGCTTAGAGCTTTTGTGAAGTATTCCACAACTGCAGCCTGTCTCTTCTCCCACTTCAATAACTATATTTGGCCAAGTTGGTCAATAGTACTGTGCTACTTTTTATATTGCAGCTGTCGATGACGTGCTGAATCCATGGTCACTTGGTTTAAGATATCCGGAGATATAGACTTATAGGTAGACATACGGTAGGCCTACACAAGTCTTTTAAGGGAATTGGACAAGCTGCGCAGCAAAGATACTACGACATTGAACACAGATGAAAGGAGATCGTCACGCGTAGATCTTTCAGGGTGACAGCGCACTCTGCTTTATCTAGACAAATACTAAAACCTCCAGGATACTGGCATGCATCTCCATCAACCCACCTTAAAAAGTAAAGCGGGTAATCTCTGCGTCAGTCACATGCAATTTGCTACATCACGACCCTTGAAGATCTGCCGCATTTCACCTGCGCTATCATGGTAATTAACGTTTTGGAGATGATAGCTGACTAAATCAGTACAATTGACGCGAGCACCTGCCGCTGCCCACGACGTCAATAATAGTGAGCATTCCAGTCATCGCAGTATACCAGTACATTTACATCTTGTGAGCCCATATACGGCGATCCGTCAAAGCGGAGAAGTTTAGTTTGGTCGTAAAGTAGGACAGAGGCTAAAATGAGACCATTTTTCACTTAGTCACGAAGCTTGATCTAAATTTAAGCTTTTCCAAGAAATGAAAACACAAACTTTGCTTGAGGCTCGAATTGGTATTCGTGAACAGAATCTTGTTTTGTGTTCCTCATATGATTTATCACCCAACCTGATTACGGCGGAGCAATGCAGTATTTCTTACGGACAGACTGAATTACGACGGCATGCATACGGCAACGCTACGGCAAAGCCTTAAAATTTTAACAACAACCTTTGCTTGAGGCTCAAATGGTATTCGTGAACACAGAATCTTGCTCCGTGCTCCTCATATGATATATTTCACTCTATCTGAATACGGCGGAGCACTGCAGTACTTCTTACGGACAGACTGAAATACGACGGCATAGATACGGCAACGTTACGACGAAGTCTTAAAATGTTGTTAGCAGATAACAAAAGGTTACTTTTGGCCTTGTAATTTCAGCCTTGAACAAATACTTCTGCAAACTGGATCATAGTTTTGAGTTTCGATGGCTGTCGGAGGTGGATCCAAAAACTGTTCTGTATACACATAC